TTAACTAGAGCAATATAAAATACTTTTATCTAGCTCTCTTAATTGAAATCGAAACTAAATTATAAACAATAGCTCAGATTTTTCACTCCGGTCTCGAAGGACCAAAAAATGGAATGAATCTTAAATAAATCATGAACTTATATAATGGAAAAATCATAAATTTAAATAGAATGTCATTAAAATGATAGAAACTAATACAATTTGGGAAAATGGCAATAATGACAACTTAGCACAACAAAGAATATTCAAAATCTTACCGGACATTTAATTTATTTCTTTGATTGATTTAACAGAGCATGATTTGTAGATAACATTGAAATATTTTTAATTGAATTATAAATGAGTAATTGAAATTTCAATGGCCATAATGCCAAAACATAAAATATTACTCATCTTACCAACATAATGAATAAATCTAAACTGAAAAAAAAGGGAAGAAAAAAAACAAAACAAATCTTTCTTGATTAACAGTACCAGTGGCTCCATCTGTTATTGAAATTATAATTAAAAGTCAAAACAGTGTATATAGTGTGTAGTACACAACTACATGATTAAGTTAATATTTTTAATCATGTAGTTGTGTATACAAAATACAGCGAAAATTAACGCGTCATTTTTGCCGGTTTTATGAAAAAATATAAATATTTAACTATACTACATTCTAAAATGACTTGGGTATTGTTTGCCAATTGATTCTAACAACCTAAAACTGTTTTAGAAGGTGTTTGGTGGTAAATTGCTGCGAATTATTGCATACATAACTAACATTTTGACAAAAAGAAAATCGCGCACTCGAGTTACTGTTTGTCGCTCAATAGAAAATTCGTCATAAAAAAAAGATAATGAATTAAAATGCAAACTGTAAAAAGCAAGAGCTACATAAAGGGCTGAACTACAAATATTATTAAATTAAAGCTGGTTGAATAAGTCTATGTAACTATGTTTGCTTAAGTAAATCTTTAAAAGCGTTTTCTGAAAAACTGTATTTTTCAATATTTTGATTCACGCCAGACACTCATACTTCAAAACTAATGGAAGTTTTCTTATGAAATTTGGTAACAATGTTATAAACTATATATACTGTGTTTTGAACTAAAACTAAGTTTCAATTTAAATATTTGGTCATGTTACAGGTATATAAACATAAAAAACTATTGCAAAAAATGCTGTTTTTCTAGATTTTAGCGCTTAATTTGGGTAATTTTTAAAATTTTCATAAACCTTTAGTTCAGAACATAAGGGTCAAAATAATCTGTACAGAAATAGAAATTGTATTTTATTCATTTAAACTAAGTGTATAGTGTCTGGCGTAAGCTCTAAATTTCGCTCATTTTAGGCTTAATTTTTCAAATATTTTAAAAACTATGCGATATTCAAAAATATTTCTTGTTTATATCATTTTATGTCACACATGAACCAATAACACATAGGTTTCAAAAAAAAATTCAATTTTTAAAAAAAATTTCATCGTACCCAGGCAGTCGCCTTAAGCGAATAGTGGTCTATGATGCAAATTGCAATTCAAAAGGCGCTTAATATAGAACAGCTATTTGCGATTCTTAAATCATTTTGATGAGAATTGTAAGTTGTAATTTTTAAATCTCTCTTGTGAATCGCAATGTGTGATTTGTAAACTACTAGAATGAGAATTGTAAGGCATGATTCTGAAATTACTTAAATACGTATCATGTTATATGATTCAGAAATAACTAATTTAAATCACTTTAATGTGAACCATGATGTATGATTTATACAATACCTTAATACGAATCCTATTGAGTAATTTGTGACGCCCGGTGGCTGCGTGGCAGTGCTTCGCGACCCAGTGCCACAGGTCCTGGGTTCGATCCTCGGGCCGGGCAAGGTTGACTTAGCCTTTCATCCCTTCAGTGGGTCGATAAAAGGCATTGGCCCTCTATGGGCTGTCGCGCCACTGAGTTTAGTTTTCTTTTTTTTAGATGAGTAATTTGCAAATCACTTTAAAATAATATTCCATATGTGTGATTCATTTATCACTTTCATTTAAATCACAATTCGTAGAACATTTTATATGAATTCCGATCCATAAACCAAGAATCAGTTTTATGTAAATCACAATGTTTATTCATAATCAACGAAACCTGTAGATTTAAATTCTATTTATTAGCCGAAAATACTAAATGTAAAGGTTTGATTATAAATAAATTATCCTTCGTACATAAATTACAAATAGGTTAACAATATTAACCTGTCCAGGGGTCTGTCTAGGTTTTTCAGAGAGGTACCTATTTTGTGAAAATTTAGACATAATTTGTGAAAAATTATTAATAAAAAATCAACACAAAAATATGGATTTATCGTTTTTTAAACAAAAATAAAATGATCGTTTAAGGGATACAAAGATAAAATTTTAATAGAAAGTATTTTATGAAACTACCGTTTTTCCTTCTGTTGAATTTGTGAAGGTACCGCTAAACAATAGTAAATTCGGCCTGCACAGACCCTTGCTGTCGTAATAATGAAGTTAACACATTGAACATATTTCTAAATCGATTAAACACTATATATCATTCGAAAACTATGATTACGGAATCTAAAATTTGCTATAAATTTCAGCTTTCAAAACAAAACAGAGATGAACAGTAATCTGGTGTGAAAATTCTAGGAGAGAAAAGTTTTGCATCTTATTTAACGCCTTTTCACTCCAAACATTAAAGATTGCATTTATCAGAATTTGTATAATTTTCCTTTGAATTTATTTATGAATTTTTTGACTGTTTATTTGTAAGAAAGATTAATATTATTTTAATTCCTAAAAAATCAAATACTTTCAAGCACCCTATGGCAGAATTCAAGGAATTTTCAGGGCCCTGATTTTTTCAACAAAATTCAAGGACTTTCAAGTACCGTGGGAACCTTGACATAAAAAAAAAAAATTAAAAAAACCACCCATAGTGCACATTTTCTGGGTAACACCAGAAAGCTGTTTAACTGATTCGCTTTCAAACTGAATGTCTGACTTACAAATTTACATAGCCCTTTCAAGTCAAATTAGCTATTAAATCATATTAAAAAAAAGATCTCAATTCATGAAAGAAAAAAAACTTTTATTTCTTTTTTATCATTTTTTTAAACTCATGTTCTTGCACTGCAAGTTCATTATATATTTTTGCTGTCTTTTTTACCCTTTCTGCATCCAATGTCAGCTTTTCTTCTAACTTAACAGCTGCAGCGGCCTTAGCAGATTTTCTGATTTCCTTCAGAAGACTCCTCTCTTCTTTTCTGATTTTCTGTTTCACTCTTTTTAACTTTTCACACTCTTTGCTGAGTTTTACCTTGTTCTTATTGTCTTTGATATTTAGATTTTTTTGTTGCCGTTCATAATTCTCAAGAGACTCGTATTGACACTCAAACACCGGTTCCAAGATCTTTAAGGATTTCGGTTTAGTCGTCTGTGTAAGATGGCGAAAGGGAGGAGTCTCTCGCTCTAGAAATTCAATGAGTCTCCTAATCAGCGTCTCCATTTCTACAGGATAAAGATGAACAGGAAGCTGGATGAGGGTGTCTAATATTGGCTGGAATGCAAATTTGCATGAAGGGTATTCCTTGTACAGGGTAGCAAAACAAAATGTCAGATTAGCGGCCGCGAAAATTATACCAACTTTTTTGTTCAGTGCAGTCAATTTTTTATCTTTTGGAAACAATTGCAAGGTTGGAATTTCTTCAACTGAAACTTTTTCGGCAATCATCAGATGAAACTTCTGAGATTTTATGTTTTTTGCCAAGGCTAAGACAAAAACATTTTTCAAAAACTGAATACATTCTGGGATAAATTTTCTTGACTCAGAGATGCAATTCTTTAATAATTCGCAAACGTAAAGCCTAATAGTGATGTTACTATAAGACTGATAAAAGTTTGCACTCAATATGTCGCACATATATATCGTTGCAGGTAACATAACTGGATGCTGCGTTACACCAGTGGAATAAATTCGGCAAATTATGCTTAAGAGAACAACAGTTTCGGTTCCAGGAAAATTTCGCTTCAAGTTTTTCTTTTTAAAATATGAAAATATATCATATTCATCACTTAACATCTTTCTAAATTTATGTGCTGTATCTAGATTGTTTCTTGTGGCTAATAAATGCAGATCCTGTATAATATCATTCATAAATTCATCGTTAGAAACATTCTTCACAATGTAATCTAAATTGAAATCTTTAATGTTGTTAAGTATCTTCCACTGTTGAATGTCTTCGGTTGCTCGAACATATTTTCTATCAAATTGCAACACATTTCTAGCTACATCATACCTGTCCTTGGAGCTACTCTCAGAAGCAGATTCACTCCTCACACATCGGTATTTAATTTTTCTCCAATCATTATTTACACATTCTAGGGCAATTTTATATGCATCAATCTTCTTCTTCTTCTCAGTCTTATTTGATATCAAATCACTATCATCTTGAAAATAGTTGAGAGAACAGCTAGGACCTTCTAAAAATTTTTTTCTAGAGTGCTTTAACTCAAAAGGATTAATTGTACTAAAAATTCTTTTCCTTTTCCCCATTTAAAAGATCTGCAATCTGGAAAAAAGGAAACTATTTTAGAAGTTGATTTTATAAAACACAAACAGAACGTTCAAACACAAAATTAATACTAATGAATAAAATGCTAACTAAGGCATGTCCCACTAATATAAAGCTATCTTGATTTTATGCTATAATGAAACCAATTAAACTACATAAAGTGCAATCTTAAGAGCGAATGTTCCTGGCAAGTCCTTTTTCACTGACATAGTTATTTGAAGTGCAAGGAAAGTGAATTCAGACTATTCGGGTTAACTTAAAGCCATACATTATCAAACGTGGAAAATTTTTTAAAATGCAAGCAAATCGTAGCAGGAACAAGATGTGAGGAAGTTGTCCTCTAATAATTTGTTTGCATTTAGAACTTTCAGCTGAGGAATGGGGCTGTTTAAAAGAAATTTGGGTCTGTTAACGGACCCTTCACAAAATATCTTTTCATAAAAACGGACCATTCACAAAATAATTTTTCTTGTAATCGGACCCTTCGCAAATTTGTGCATCTTCATTATTGATTTGTTAATCGAATAAACCCTTCCCAGGAATGGGGGTGGGAGGAAAGACAGATGTAAACGAACTAAATTTTGTCTAAGGCAGACGCTTCTTCCTTTATTCGTCCGAAATGATTATTCTGCGTTTAGTAGCATAGGCTTAATACCAAATATTTGTATGTTGCATCTCTAATTTAGTAGCAGCAATTGCTGTTTATTTTTTAAATTATAATTTTACAGTGTTGAGCATAATCTTGTTATGTCTTTACAATTTAAAAACTCCTTGAAAAAGTTTTTTTTGTANGAGGCTTCTGGGGCGATATATTGTGATTACAGACACACACACACACACAGCCGCGTTTATTATTATGTATAGATGTATAGATTCACAAATTACGAGTAATTTTTTCACAATTTTACAAAAATGGACCTTTCACAAAATGTCTGGACAGACCCCTGAATCCAGAGGATTAAAATCAAACATGTCAAAATATTCAAGAGTAAATGATAATTCCAGTTATAAAATAGGAGTGTTACTCTCACCAAGCCCAGCTCATACGTGGCGAAATTCGACATGGTAACGAAAAAAATCTCATATACGGAAAGGGAAAATTAAACACTTTTTAAAAACACCCAATGAAAATAGCACCCTTAAAGGCTTTTATAAAACGAAAATAAGCACCTTTAAAGATGCTACGCACCATGTATATGGCAGATATATTATAACCTCTATGAAGACGTGTTACTGCAAATTCAAGAAACTATGAATTTCTCTTTAATAATCCAGAACACCTCACGGCAGTCTTTTAAGGTGTAAGTTTCAAGAATTTTGAAAACTAAGAAAACTTTGCAGACTTATGTTGATTATTTCTGACATTAAACTAAACTCAGTGGCGCGACATCCCATAGAGGGCCAAGGCCTACCGTGCCCATCTCAGTTTTCTTGACCTTGGGCTCTGGGGTGCAAGAGCAGATGTTGCGGTTAGATGGTCAGTCGAACGCGGAACCCCCAGTGTTTAGTTCCCAAGCAGGCTTGGTACTCATTTATCTACCTACTGAAGGGATGAAAGGCCGAGTCAACCATGCCCAGCCCGAGGATCGAACCCAGGACCTGTGACACAGGAGCGCGAAGCGCTACCACCGGTCATTTCTGACATTATTGAACTTAAGTGCGAAGAAATATCACTGAATGAGGATCAAAGCATAGAAGCTTCACTAAAATGTGAAATTTTCATATCAAGTATTTTTAATAGATGTTAAACTTATTTAACCAGAATCTCAATAACTGATAACGGTTACTAAACTAAACTCAATGGCGCGACAGACCAGAGAAGGCCAAGGCCTACTGTGCCCATCTCAGTTTTCTTGACTTTGAGGTGCGGTAGCAGATGTTCTGGTTAGGTGGTCAGTCGAACGCGGAACCCCCAGTGTTTACTTCCTAAGCATGCTTGGTATTCATTCATCGACCCACTGATGAAAGGCTGAGTCAACCCTGCCCAGCCCGAGGATCGAAACCAGGACCTGTGGCACAGGAAGCGCTACCACCCAGCCACCGGCGTCAATAACTGTTACTGACAAGTTATTTTCCAGGTCATAATTTTTTTATTGCAATTTTTACTGACTATTCCCTGTTTTTTAGTCAACATAAAATTCTGACAATTCCAGATTTTCCGTGTTCTCCCTGGGGAAAGTATATTTTCATATCAGATTTTGTAACACAATTGTCGGCACTAATTAAAGTATTGAAAGTTAGGCACAAAAACCAGTGAGTCCTAGAACATGAAAATCTGTATCCCTACCTGATCTGGAAAGGGAAAAAAATATCGAATATGTAATAAAAAAGAGGGAAGTGTCTCACCTAAATAAAACTACTACTCTTATGAAACCCCCCATGTTTAGATTACTTGCAATAGACCACGATGCATTACTAACTCCTAGAGCACAGTAATGTCAACGTTGTTCCAAATTGCTGAGAATACCAATTCTGAGAATTCCTAGACGATTGAAATCAGGGGAGAAAGTAAGCCTTTGATATGTGTGATCAAAAACAATCTTACACTGGTTTTATCATGCAAGTGGTGGTATTGCTAGGTGAAGAAAAGAAAAAAAATCAAAATTCGACAGTCAATTTTCTTTGTAAACGACAGTAAATAAATATTTCAGCATACTTTTTGAAAAAGGCACAACACAGTAAACTTTAAAAAANCTTTCATTGTTGTATAGTTGTTTATAGTTGAGCTAATCATTATTAAATGCAATATATATATATATATATACAATATATAAAAGCATGGTTGTGCAACACTGGACGTGTTATGCTATGTACGAACAAGTGAACTTGCGTACTCAGTTGATTGTCTCCAAACTCAACCATGCTTTTAACATAAAAATACGGTTTATGTATCAGCTATTAACAAGGGCGCCGGCAGAATAATATAAAAGGGGGTGCAACCCTCTAACAAACTACCCTTCCCCCTAAAAAAGTGAAAATATTCTGTTACATTTTGTTTTGTTATTACATATGCCTCCATCTGTTAATTTTTTTCATCTATTTCAATATCTTATGAATCCCTCGAATACATCGATTTAGTTATAGAGACCACACCGTTTTATCCAGCTGTAGCGGGGAAGCAGGCCTAACTCTTCTAGCGACTACGTGCACTATTGAACCCACTTTTAGAAATTAATAGAAGTTCTAATTATATTTTTTGTCATATTATAACGGAAATCTGATAAAAATCAGAAGTTGAGGAAAAATTATTAGATAGCGGAAAAGCAGAGGATTCTCATATTTGTAAATAATAGCAGCCACCAATGTTTGAAAAAAAATGACAATTTACAAATTGTGTTAAAAGTGTAAAATGTATAGTTTTATCTTTTCATAGTTGCCATTATGAAAAAATAAAAATCCAACAGATTGTACAGATTGCATAATATGTGCTGCACTCTGTATAAAATTTCAGAAACTAATCTTAAGCCGACAAAAATGCTTCTTAAAATGTCAGAACTTCATCTAACATCATGTTTTCGAACAATTAAGAAACATTTATTTTATGTTCAAAAGTAGGAAACTAAATTACACAGACGCCGATTCAGTTTCAGAGCGTAGCTATTACAACTGTAAAATTCTAATTTACTAGTATAAAAGACACTATTCTATTTGATACCTTTTGATAGATGACAGTTGATAGAGTTCATAGCTTACGCTCTCAAAATACAGTGAAACCTCATTTTATGGACACTCCTAGTAAACAAACAGCTTTCAATAAGAGTATATTTCTAATTTCCCAGGAATTTTCTATTAATAAACCATTATCAGCCTTTTTTCAAAAAATTTTAGGGGTAATATAAATATATGATTTTGCTAGGATAAAAACAGATCACACGGTATAGTTTATTACATAACAGAAGATTATTCTTATTCATCCATACATATCATAAATAATTGCAAGCCATAAAATAAAGCTCTGAAATTTATTAAGTTAAGAATGAAATCTCTAAAGTGTAGAAATGAATTTTCAACTTTACATATTACCTATCAAAAATTAAGTGCATAATTCAGGAACAGGCAAAAGTGAGAATAAATTAAGGGAAAAAATAAATTAACACCAACTTGGAAAAATTAAATATTCTTTATTAAATCCAAAACAATTCGTAAATTAAAATGCAACGCCAAATAAAAAAGTAAGGAATATTTGACTAAAACTTTACGAACTTAAAATTATTATAAGCGATATACGTATAAAAAAAATTCACTATCGCTATTTCATATCTTTCCTATCCTTATCAGATTAAGTATACAGAAAATGATTTAATCATTCATGAAGTAAAAATATACCATATAAAAACTGTATCAACTTAAATATTAACAAAAATAACACTGTCTTAAATTGTATATACTTTAAACAATTTATATTCTCATATCTTTGATACTTATATACGTTATAATTTACGAAAATTGTTTATTATAATAATAAACACTGGGTTAATTTTGTCAATGGACAATACTGAATACCAANGCTAACCAAATTGGAACCTAAGATAAAATCTACGTGCAGCAAGCATCAAGGGCAAGAATCTCACTAAATTAAAATATTAAATTATTATAGAAAAATCTTTATTAAAATTATTTCGAATTTGAATTTTAGTTTTTCATTATATGTTCTGAAAATTTACTTACTTTGTTTCGCTAACAATTTCTTAAGTTTCTTAAATGAGCAATTCGATTTCTTAGTATTAAAAATTATGTATATGTTACATAGTGGGTCATAAGAATTTTAGAAAGGCTTAGGTGGTGCATGGTACAAAAAAGGTTGGGAAACACTGCTGTAAACAATTCCCTTTCTCATCCTCTGCGATGTTTATATAAACAATAAAAGTATTAAAAAAAATAGTTCGAAAAATCAGAACAAATAATCTGCATATCTTTAATTAAAATTACCATAAATTAAAATTCTATAGTAATATTTTAAAAAAAGAGCCTTCCTCTCTAAAATAAATAAATTTTTTATTTGAT